ACATGCACATGTGAAGTTTAAAGATAGCTACATGTGAAGTAAAACCCCCTCCACCTGCCTCTCACAGACTTCCAAGCCTCTTCAGATGCTTACCCAGTTGGAGACAGCTCTGTTTAATCCAAATTTGGAAATCTGGAATCATTCTACGAGTTGAATTTCAGTGTATTTTGAATTGATGAGGTGGTAAATGAGGAGTGGTTGGCGCTCCCCCTACCCTATGGTCTTCTTCTCAAGGTTAAGTGTTCTAAGAGTATTGGGCAGGAGATGGAGATAATCAGTAAGAAGACTTAAAGGGTGAGGTGCATCTAATGACACATGACCCTAGCATCGTCACGTTTCAGCCAGATGTTGAAGCCATTTTCCATTTACTTAAACTATGAATTCATTTAATTGTATGATTTTTAAAATTATGAACTTTAAAACTATTATTCCAGACAATGATTTTTCAACTTAAAATATTGCCTAAGCATGAATAATTCTGCTCTAATAAACTTGACTATGTGTTCTTACTAAATTCACATCTTTCCACTTTATTTTGTCGTAGGCTTACCTTCTATGCACTTGTCACCTTGTGCTTTTTAAAGAAGGAAGTGGGTTCTGAATGGATGGCACTTTCTAAAGCACAGAGCACCTCCCTCATCCCAGGACCCTGTCAGCTCCCTGTCTGTGGGACAGGAGGTTCTCCAAAGTGTTGAGAGTCGCCACATAGGTACTCCCCATGGCACCAGGCAAATGTAATGAAGCCAGTGAAAGAGCGTCTTTATCTGATACAAGAAAAAGTGCCCTCACATTTGTCAAAGACGAAGGGGAAAGGCTGGAGTAGTCCAGAAATGGCTTTCAACCCGGGCTGTCATTTGTAAAGGAGCTACACAGGCTAAACCTTAGGAAGTCACTTCTTTCTTTTCCTTTTGTACAATCTGAATTCAGCTCAGACTATCCTACTTAACTTGAGACTCTGAGTAACCTCCTTCATCGTTTTAGCGAAGAAAATGTCAGTTGCTTAGATTATTAGAATGAAGGCATGCTGTATATTATCCCCTATGGAATCTGAATAAACCAAGAACAACCAAATTGGCTTATGTGAGAAAACTCAAAATAATAAAATATTGGCAGCACACAAACATGCCATTCAAGTATTATGGAAATAAGCTAACCAAAATCACTCAAAAAACAAAATTAAACCCAACTTACTACATCGCAATGTCATGGGACTTTTAGTAATAGCTTGTAAAATGAAGGGCACCTTTAGAGTGGTAATGTAAATTTCAACAACCTAAACCTTGCCTTCGCAAAGTAACAATTCTCAGGAATTCCAAAGGAATACGTTCCTAATAAAATTATAAGCCGCTTTCCTGTAAATGAATTCTGCTGTTTCTGTCATGTTCAATTTTATCTTTGTTTTTGTTTTCTTACTTCAAAAGACAGCTTCAAATCCTCTTGTGTAATTAGGTGGGATTTAAATTGTAAATATATTATGGGGAAAATAATTAATATTTTGAGTATCTACTGTGCGCCAGGCACCTCATCACTTAAGCCTCATAACACTGCTTAAAAACTCCTCACTTTGTGAAGTCCCTGGGAGAGGCTTGGAGGCAGCATGAGACTTTTCAGTTATAAGTGAAGGAACTTGTAAGCAAAGGAACTGAAACATGCGTGCACGTCTGTCCATCCGAGTCCTATACATCCTGCCTCTGTACTAGTTAACCTTGCTTTCATTTTAAGGTTGATTTGGAAATATAACAGTTTATATAGCATAATTCATTAAGCAGTGTTGTATCTAAGGTGTAATATCTTAGTGTACGTAGCACAACGGCCTCTATCTCAGGGTTCTCTGACATTACCTGAATATGAAAGGAGACTTTCTGGAGGTCTGCCCTGAAGTGACCCGTCATCTTTCAGCCTGGCCTGTGGGACTGGCTTTGGTGCCTTCTTGTACTACAGCAGGGTCCTGAGCTAGTAATACCCCTGCCAGTGCTGTCTCTCTCTGGCCCTGTGGAGCAGGAAGCCATCAGGTTCCCCTTCTTCTTCTTCTTTTTTTTTTTTTTTTTTTTTTTTTTTTTTTTTGAGGTCCTGCTTCTCATTCTGAGGACCAGAATAATGCTGGTTATCACTGTACGAATTTCTGACATGATGAGCTACTTTATTCTGTTCATGCTGCTGAAGTTCCAGTTTGTTTGCCTGGTTCTGCCTACCGTGGCGTCCGGCCTTTTACTCACTTCCACTGGGAATCCTTCTCCCTGCCCCACCCTTCTTTATCTGCAAAACTTGTTGAGGTTTACTTTTTGGTTTGTTTATGGTACTGAGGGTTGAGCTCAGGGCCTTTGCACTAAGCTACATCCTCAGTTCCCCCTCCTCTTTTACATTTTGGTACAGAATTTCCCTCAGTTGCTAAGTAACCCAAAATCTATGTGGGGCTCAAACTGGCAATACTCCTGCCCCAGCTTTCCAGAGTGCTGGGATTACAGATGTGACACAGATGTCCTGCTCCTTTAGTATTTAACCTCCTCCAGGAATCTCTCTACCACATCCACCTGCATACGCTACTTCCCATCATCACACTATAATATATTGATCTGTCTCTAGGTCCATTTTATAGACAGATATGCTGGAAATTCTGCCAGACCAATATTCTGGAAACTTCCTGAGAGCAAATTTGGGTTGAAGATGGAGGATGTGAAATTATTCCAAATTTTTATGCTAATTTGGTCTTTCAAGTTCATTCAAGGCATTGGTAAATGTATGACAAAAATGAAAGTGGGAAGATGTGAATTTAGTGAGAAAATGTAGTTAAGTTTGTTAAAGTAGCAGTGTTATTTATATATTGCCACAGATTTCCCATACTGTATTAATGGTTTCATGGTTCTTCAATACTGCTGTATCAGTGCTCAGTAAAGCTTTGCTTATAATAAAATGATGACTTTATAATCCCTTCAAGTAAATTTAAAAACCTTCCACAGTGAAAATTCTGTCTAATTCCTTAGGAACTCCTCTATATTTTGCAATACATTTCAGAACAGCTCATCAAGCATATATGAGATTATGGTTATACATGTTCTACTAATCAAAAAAGTATGCGATAAGGTAGAAATCAGTTCATATTTAACAGGTACCAGTATATCTGAAGACATTATTTAAAGCCTTAGCGTTTAGAAACAACTGCTTTGTATTCATGACCCTTTGTACTTAAAGATTTTACCATATAATTCGCTCCTTCTTAAAGGTAGATTCTCTAGGTTTGGAAGCTCGAAGCGTTCTGTTTGTGGAATGTAGTAAGCCTGCGGTCCACTGGGGGCTTGCTGGATGTGCATAACATGCCTTGGTCACTTCGGATCCCTTCCCCGCCTCCTGGCTCTGTCGTTTGTCCCTTGTCCATTTTCCCAGCTCCAAAGCGTCTGCTTTGGAAATATGCTTGGGAACAGCTCTTGAGCAAGCAGAGGAACAGGTCTCTCCAAGGTTGGATCCTTTTGGCCACAAAGAAAGCAGACACTTGGGAACGCAGCCGCCCTCCTCTGTCCCCTCAGCCCCAGTCGCCCATCCCCACGGATCCGTAAGGAAGACATCCCTTTTTCAGCCAGGAGCAGCGGGAGGGGTGCAGGGTCAGAGCCTGGGTGCAAACCCCACTCCACTTCTGAGCAGGCGAATGTCCTGGTGCCCGTTGCCTCGGCTTCCGATGCCCACAAGCTGTCCGTGTCCGGCTGCGCATGCATTGAGCCCCTCTAGATGCTCCTTAGGAAGGATCAGGTGCATCAGGCTTCTTCCCGGTCCCAGCCTTCCTTCCCTTTGCCTGACTCACAGACAAAGAATTGTCCGTGAAGCTCCAGCCAAGACTAAATCTTTACTCCCGTGGGGAATGGCAATCATGATACGGATTTGTATTTTTCTCCACGGCCTGTGTGATGTGCAACAATGTGCTTCGCTTTGTGCATGCCTGAAGGTGCTCCTGACTCACTCTGTGGGTGCAGCAGTCACAAGAAAATCTGCCACAGCAGAGCTAAGCGTTGCTTGACGTGAAGGCTCGGCCTGGAAAGCGGTGTGTGCGACACTGATTGCTCTGCTTGCTAAACCATAATTTGGCTGGGAGAACCAATTTTGAAGAATTTCTCAAGAATTCTAAAAAAGGCAAATTTCCAGTGAGTAGGCAGGTCTGCTGACATTTGATAATATCTAGTTGTCAGGAGGTTTTAAAAGGTACACATGCCCACGTTGATTCCTGGATTTAAAAAAAAAAGAAAAAGAAAAAGAAAAACATCCAGTGGGAGTCAGGGAATGAAAACTAATGATAAAACATTTTACAGGAGTCTCATATGAGACCGCGTAACGGTTAATGTTTACAGTGCTTGACCCGAATGGGATTGGTTAATTAAAGATGTCACTTGGGATAAGAAGTGCTCAGAAATGTTTCCAAGCTTTTTTTCTTTGCTTTTTTCTCAGTTAATACTAAGCCCAGAGACTGTAGGGAAACTTCCATGCTTCTGTAAAACTGAATCTATTTTCCCTTTGGCTTATTGTTTACTTAACCACAGGTCATTTGTTTTGGCAGGAGAAAATGTATGTGTTCACTATCAAAAGGCCTATGCATTTTAGCTCTCTTTTATTGCTTTACTGTATTATTTGAGAATTTTTTGTGAATTGAGAAAAATGATGATTTTTCACTGTATCAAGGCTTCTCTCAGCTCCTGTGATTTTAGTTTCCATACCTTAAAGTACATATTGAAATTAAATTGCTTTATCCGATCACATGCACATTTTCCATTAATAAATCCAGCAGAGTTGTTTGACATAATGCACATCTGTGGAAAATAACATATTTTAGAAACAGCTCTAAAGATAACTGAGTCTGTGAAAATGTCATTTTAAAGATCTCAAGTAATAGCAGTTGTCTTGTTACACAATAATAACAGTGTTTATCGGGATTGTGAGTTATGCATGCGAGGGGCAGTGCTCGTCGTTTTTGTTGTGGACCTTCAGTTTGTTAATCTACCCTTGCGTCACCTGCACAGGACAAAGCCCAGCCACACCCCCTCCTGTGCCAGCACTGCAGGCCCCCACACCCGCTCCTGCCGCACCTGGTCCTGAAGGTGAGTATTTCTCTTTACCTCATTTTCTACTGTAGACAATTTAGAATGTAGAACACAAAAAATAACAACAGACGTTTTAAAATAAAGTATATTTTGTGTGAGTTTATTATGTGTGAAATATCATTCACTTTTCCTGAAGTTCCAGTTTGATCCTTCTTAGAAAGGGGAAAAAGTTTCCCCTCAAGATTTGATATTGACTACTTTTAGCTGTTAGAAGGTGACTGGCTTGCTGCCCTGGAAGTCAATCTAGAAAACATAGGGGCTAATACAAGGGATAGGCCTTGAAACTCTTGCATTTTTACCTCAATTTAATTGACCTTCTGTCTGAAGACTCTGGTACCAAAGTTTCTGATTTTGAATCCAATCTCACCTTTTACAAACACGCTACATTTGAGAAGTTACATCGATTTAGTGTTCATGAATGTTGTCCTCTCTAGTACAGAAAGTGAAGAGCACTGACCTGTGAGTATGAACATGTGTACTTTCTCGTGTCTATGTATATAACTCATGCATTTACATATAGTCTGTAAGTGCTTTTGTACAGTTAGTAGCAGATGCTACTGCTGCTAAGTAGTTCTTCAAAATAGGATGTTCCAAGAACAGAAAAGTAAAATGAAGTCAATGTAATGATGGTCATTTTTTCTGGAAATCTGAAATCTTTTTTTAAGTTTTGTTCATTCATTCCTTTAACAATTATTCATTAGGGGCTGGGGATTTCGCTCAGAGGTACAGTGCCTAGCAAGTGCAAGGTCATGAGTTCTATTCCTGGTACAGGAAAAAAAAAAAAAGCCACAAACAATTATTCATTAGATCAGGACCACGGGCTCATGTCAGAGTCTTAGTCACTTCCTTGTTACTCAGAGAAATGCCCAAAACCCTCAGCGTAAGGGAGGAGAGGCTTATTTAGCCCAGTTTGCTGTGGGCTCAGTCCAGCGTCAGCAGAAGTACATGGCGGAAGGTACGGTAGAGGAAGCTGCTCACCCAGGGCAGCCAGGAAGTGGGGGGGGAGGGAGGACGGAGGGACAAGAATCCACCCTGCAGGTCACCCCTTCTGCGACTTGGCCCCTCTGCCTGTGCTCCACCTCAGAAGGGCACAGTCAGCTACGGACTCATCCATGGGCCAGTTCACTGATGAAGACAGCACCCCCTGACCCAGTCACCTTCCAAACACGTGAGACTTTTGAAGGACATTTTCAAGCTAGGCCAGAGCACACACACTGTCCAAGTATGGGAATTTATAGATTAATAAACACTTTCTCCCATGCCCTGACTCATTTACAGATATAAAAACACAAATAATAAAGCCAAGAAAAAAACAGAAGTCTTCCCCAGGTCATAGTCCCTTCCAGGTCTGGAGGAGTCACCTTTAACCTCTAAATCACAGCAACCTATTACAGTAGGTAAACGACTTCGTATGGTCCTTTACACAACTAGGATTAATTATCATTGTAAATGTTAAATAAATACCCCATGGAATTGTAAGTCAGCACTTACCGAAGAAAGAATGCTTTTGGTTGGTGACAGGGCACTGCTTCAGGGTAAAGTTCATGGGCATCTTGCTTGAAGACTGCACTGACACTGCTTTTTGAACATTTACAGAATTGTGTACATGTAGCCCCAGGTGTGGACCTGCTGTCTCTCACCTCCTCCAATCTCCAGTGCATTTCATTTGCACACACAGATCTTTCACTTATTTATTTGTCAGTGTGAATGCCTTGGGTAGAACAGACTTCTGCGTTCTGCTCAATACCCCTGTCTCCACTTCACCAACGTGCTCTCTTGGCTCCAGATATTGTTCCTGCATGTGAGAATTACATAAAGACAACTTCCTCTTGATGTGACATTTCTTAGGTTCCTGACCAGTCTTGTTCATTGAGTTATCTTGAGTGGTCATAACAGTTACCCCAGACAGGTCAGCTTACACAGTGTGATGTTTCTCACAGCTATGGAGGCAAGCAGTCCAAAGTGAGGGTCCTAGCTTAGCCAGGTTCTGAAGTGGACTTTCTGCCATGTTGCCATCTTACTCTTCCTCACTGGTGCAGAGCAGGGCAAACCCAGGAGGCCTTCAGATCCATAGTCCAGGGCTCAACCCCATAACCCAGTTGAGACTTAATCAGCTGCTTCACTTCTCCATTTCCCACGCAGTTCACAAGGAGGTTCAGCTTTCAACACACAGATTTGTGGCAGGGACACATTTATTCTATGGGGCTCAGCAACCTGTAAACTTAGTTAATAAATAATTAAAGCTGCTTAAATATTTACCTCAAACAATTAAGCTTGTTTAAATTTTCTCTCTGAGCTACAAATGACTTTTCTTTTCCATATCTGTCACTTATGTTTTTGAGCAGCACACATTCTCAGTCTTACCATCTCTGCATGTGTTTTGAATTGCTGAGTGAAATATTTTTAAAAATCTTAACTATTCTCAAATTTAAGAGTTCACACTGAAGATAACAACAAAAACTCTTAGCAGTCTCATGGATGGCTACTATCCTATGTCATTTACCTAAAGATTGAGCGAGTAGTTTAGAGCAAATCTAACAGAATTCACTCCAAAAAAGAAGGAGAGGGAAATGTAAGAGTTATAGTCCTTTTGACATCTGGGCTTTCATAGCTCATGTGACTAGAGATAATTTGACATAAAATCACCAACTGACTATCTCCCCATCGACATGTTCACAAGATAAGGGGAAGGCAGCAAATACTGTCCTGTAACTGTAAATTTCATCAGACTCTAACATGATGGACATAAATCAAGGAGCTCAGAGTCTCCAACTTGAGGCAGACTTTCATAGTGAGCATATTCAGATATTTGGAGCCAATTTATCTCCTCGCACGCAGAACTTCGTAGACCTCCAAGTAGCAAATGTTTTGTCTGTTACTCTGTCATCTGGCAAAGGTTAAATGGGATGCTTAGGTTGGGGCGTTGCATTTAAAGAGTGATTTCACCTGACATTTCATTCTAGAATTCGGTACTATGTTTAAGTGAATAGAAGGACAGCATTTCTAGATGAGGAGTCTTCGGTAGTTCCATCGGCTTTCAGTGTGCCAAGAGGCACAGCTCCCGCACTGAGGGCCAGAGTGTTGAGCACTGAGCAGCTTGCGAGGCGTCCACATTCTCAGGCGACGCTGAGATCACGGGCTTTGTCAGGGTTGGCAGATGTGCCGCCTCTGACTTCATTAGCATAATTGATTAGGAACTAGGACATATTTAGTATTAATCAAGCTGTTTTTAGTGAAGTTGATTATACCAGTTCTCTGGATGCACTATTTTGGTCTGGAACTTCCTTAGAACTAAGTTGCAAGAAAACGGCTTTATGTAAAAAGGAGAAACCTAAAAGTAGCACTGAAATACGTTACTGGATTTGAAGAACACCGGTCAAATTGTACGAACTTAAAAATGTTTTAATTTTAATGTTTGTAAAATGTGCAATTTATATAGAGGCTCTATTACTAAAGAGTTTGGAAACAATTTAGAACTTTATCAGTAGAAAGCTACAAACACATGAACCTTGAATGGGTAACAGCACTCTATGAATCCGTCAGGCCCTGGAAGGTCTTCTTTGTGTTTTCATGGAACTTTCAGAAATGGTTGTCTCACCACGCATTCTATTTGTGGAAATATCACTGTGCTTCTTATCTCAGAACATTTATTAGTGCCTTGAAGTTATGTCAGACCTTCCTCAGATCCTCACTGTTCACTCCCATGATGTGCTTTGTGCACTATAATAAAGTTTTCATTGTTTTGAACATGTGAATATAAAGAGAGTAACTACATATTGAATCACTTGTTTCCTTTGACCCCATAGTATATTTTTTATAGTATATTTGCTTAGGAAAAATTGACTATAGTAACTTTAAATAGACCTAACCTAAATAATCACAAGGAATCATTTTTGTCATTGTTGTCAGTTTGTTTTTAATTTTGGAATTGTTTGAGGAGAATTAACTTAAAAATGGACCTAACAAATATAGCACTAATTCTCATAATATTTCAAAAATGCTTAAATTTTGATACAGAATTAATTATCACTAAGGATGAAAAGCCCAGACCTTTATAGGGCTATGTAACAGTGACCCACGTATTACACAAATAGAGCAGTGCTGTGTGGGGTGTTTCCTCCTAATAAAACAGTATTTTGTGGTATTTATATTATGGTGGGTTTAACACTTACCACGGGTGTGATTTTACCATCAAATGTTGGTCAGCATTTCCACTAACCTCCCACCCAAGAACTGTATTGCTTGAGAAAGACCTGCACTCCTTTGCTTGGACTAGGTGGACAAACTCAGTCTGTGTTGCTCAGGCCCCGTTCACCAAGAGAGGCAGAAAATCTGTTTCACAAAACCTCCTGCTCAAATTCCTCCTAGTTATCTAGTGACTGGGTTAAGAAACTCTTGGAGCCGTGCAAGGGTCATGGCGCTCCGTACTTCTCAGCGCTTTGATACTCATCTACTGGCCACAGCTGGTGTGCTGTGAGGGGGAGGCCCAGGCGGAGGAGGGGTCAGTGGGGAGCCTGTAGGGGACGCGGGCCAGTCCCTGGCTGGTGCTCTTTTCCTCTGCTCTGCTTCCTGACTCCCATGAACTGAGCAGCTCTGCTCCACCACGCACTTCTGCCATGATGTTCCTGCCTTGGAGCCGGTCAGCCACCTACTAAAGTCCGGGGAACTGAGAGCCACATAAACCCCTCCTCCTTTACATTGTGGCTGTCAGGAGTTTTATACCAATTTGCAAAGAGTGGCTGAGACACAGATGTGGGAGGAACAAGTCAAATTACATAGTAATCAGTTATCCAATCTTCACCAATCAACTGACTTCTTAGGATTTCTGTGTCTCACTTTGCAAACCTGGGGACTTGACCTGAATGGTTCCTGAAGGTCCTCTCAGCCTTTGTATCTGTCCCTTGTGTTTCTGAGGCTCTTGGTAAGGAGCTACCTTAACAACAAAGGGAAGCCTCTGTGCTTTGCGTAGGTGTACACAGCACTGCAGAGCTGTAAGG